ATATAGGATTCTATTTGAAGTAAATTGACCTCTCGGGTGGAGCAATGAGGACCGTTGATCTCCATCCGAACCCTGTTCTTATAACCGCTCCAGCGTCGGACAACCTCTACCTTCCCTCTGGTTCTTCGTTGTAAATAACCCTAGCGATACAATCGCCAATCGAAGCTAGGTCAGAACACAGACACCCGAAACTCCCATATCTCTCTTCCATCCGCTCCTCCCCCACCCGAAACAATCCAGAAAGGTAACTTCACGTCTTCTTTTTCAAATCCGGGGTTTTATTTTGTCCAAAATGACTGTCAGGCAAGATTTAGGTTAATTCCAGCTTCAAATCTGGGGCTTTATTTTGTCCAGAATGAATTGGTTTTCTAAGAAAATGAAAAATGATGCATTTTCAGTTGAAAGCATCGTGCAACAGTCCATTTCTTCGGCATATTTGATCAATCACCTCATCCTCATGTTCACAAATGGTAAAAATATTCTTTATGGGGTATAGGTCTTGGGGGCTTAATCTGTTTTGTTCTACATTTTTATCATTCAACTTCTCTTAACTTATAATTCTTTTGGTTTATTTGGATTAGTAATCATGTACATGAGATATGAAAAAGATGAAAACCAGGTCAACACATAAGATCCCATTTATATATCAAAATGGCTCATTTTGGATTTTTTAGATAGTGATCATGTTTTAAAAAAAGGCATTTCTTCTTGAGTTGATTTATTTGAGACAAAAATCACTTTATTTTTTACTTTCCAGTGTATTTAAATCCCAACCTTTTTTTTTTGTCTCAAAAAATAATTTTTTTTTTGTTTCTATTCTCCATTCTCTAATTCTAAAATTCTTTGCAGGAGTTTGGTTCTGCACTCTCAGTTTGGATATATTTCACCAACCAGAAAGCAATGGAATCCTATAAGCCTAAAAGCATCCTCATCACCGGGGCTGCTGGTTTCATCGCATCGCATGTTGCCAACAGGCTCATCCGCAACTACCCCAATTACAAAATTGTGGTCCTTGACAAACTCGACTACTGCTCCAACCTTAAAAACCTTTCCCCTTCTGGATCCTCCCCCAACTTGAAGTTTGTTAAGGGTGACATCGCTAGTGCTGATCTTCTCCACTACCTTCTCATCACAGAGTCCATCGACACGATAATGCACTTTGCGGCTCAGACTCACGTCGACAATTCTTTCGGCAACTCCTTTGAGTTCACTAAAAACAACATCTATGGAACTCATGTTTTGCTTGAGGCCTGCAAGGTCTCCGGTCAAATAAGGAGATTCATCCATGTCAGCACAGACGAAGTTTATGGGGAGACCGATGAGAATGCCATTGTTGGCAACCACGAAGCCTCTCAGCTCCTCCCTACAAACCCATATTCTGCCACCAAAGCCGGAGCTGAAATGCTTGTGATGGCTTATGGAAGGTCCTATGGCTTACCCGTCATAACCACCCGTGGTAATAATGTCTACGGACCAAATCAATTTCCCGAAAAGCTGATTCCAAAGTTCATCCTTCTAGCAATGAGAGGACAAACTCTTCC